ATCTTGAGTAGATTTCTAGGATTTTCTAAACCCACACTAACTGAGACCCACTGGAGTCAGACATTGTTAGGACAGGGCCTGTGCTGCAGCACAGGAAGTTCAAGGTAGGAGAGAGAGCTCTCCTAGATTAACCAGAGAAAAATGTTAGGAATGCAATTTATATAGCAACAGACCTATGATTGGTCCAAATTCAAGCCTTACTGATTGGTTCAAATTGGTCTCAATTTAAGCCTTCTGATTCAAGCCTACTCCTTGGTCCAAATTCAATTCTACTGCTTGGCTCAAGTTCAAGCCCACTGTGGTCAAGGTGGACACCTCCCAGGAATGGGTTTCAGACATCCAGAATAGCTGTTTTGTAGCTGTCAATCAATCCACGTCTCTTTGTAGCCATTAAAGGGAAAAGGAAAGTGCTAGCCATCTCTAATCTGTCTCATAACTCTCCTGGCAGCCCTTGGTCTGTGCCACAGATCCTATTCAGAGGGATCCAAGCGGCTGCCGTTCATTCAGTCCCCCTCCTATATTCTGGCAGTTCCTTCAAGATATGCTGTCCTTTGGGGGGAATATCACAGTTTTTGAACTGAAGACAGTTTGCTACAGAAATTATATGGCAAAATGTTAGAGAAAAGGAAAAAATTCTAAGAAATTTAAAAACTCAAAACAGGAGAAAATTAATTGGCTTTATGCTAACCTTTATAACCTCAATCTTTGAATTTTCTCCCTCCTTTAGAGCATTCGCTTCTGTGCTGCCAAAAGAAGTAAGATGTGATTTCTTCTAACTCATTACTGCAATCTCCATCAAAGGATAGCAAAGACAGTAATTAGTGTTCCACACCAGCCTCTGGTTTGACATAAACTACATTTGTCCTTTACCCAGCTGAAAATGAAGCACTTCTAATTCTTAGAATTTTCTCGTAGTTGCTTTCTCCTACAGATTTTTTTCTACTGCTAACTTTCCTGTAAAGAAAACCAAAATGAAAACTTAAAAAAACGAACAAGTGGTACTACCTTGCCTTTAGAGTGGAATGGCCATATGAAGCATTAAAGGGAGGGAAGGGCAGTGGTTAGGGAGACCACCCTAATTTCTTAGCAACATTGGGGTCCAGATATTCCTCCAGAAAGCTGTTTGCAGTTTCCAATGGCTAACACAGGCTGCTCTTGGAGGGAAAATCCTCCAGGACAACTGAACTATAGTGATTCTTTTGTGAACAGTTTTTGAACAGCTACAGAAGTGCTGGTGTCAGGCATATGTGAACGCTCCACTTGGAGCAGCAGGAAAATGTGGTCAGGAAGCCCTCCCACCATCCAGAATGTGGTCACGGATATTATATAAAATAAAACTCTATCCAGTTTTAAAGCCCTTAGATGTCTAGGACTAGAACATAGTGTAGGGAGGATGGACTCAGACTGAGCTGGATCCAGAGCTGAATCCATGGCAACCAGGTGGCTGGAGCTCGTGGAACAGAGAGAGAAAAGGGAGCTATATAGAGCATCCCAGACCTGCAGAGAGCCCCTCTGGAAAATTCAGCAGACTCCTCTCTTTAGCTTCCTGTAGCAGTTAGTACTGATTCAGGTAGTCTTGCAGGAATTTGGGATAGATCAAGATTTTTTAAATATTTTGGTTTTGTTTCCAACGAAGAGCACTGTGGAACTTAATTTGTAATGTTCAATTTAGTAGCCACTGGATGCAGATGACTGCTTCAATTTAAACTAATTAAAAGTAAAGCAAGCTTCATAATACAGTCCTTCAGTTGTACAGCTGCATTTCACGAGCTCAATAGCCACACGGGCTAGTGGCTACTGCACTGAACAGCACAGATACATAACATCTCCTACACTGTGCAAAGTTCCAACTGAAAATGCAGGGAGGCCGGGGATATAGCTCAGTGGCACAAGCACCTGCCTGGCAAGTGCAAGGTCATAAGTTTGATTCCTGGTACCAAAAAAAAAAAAAAAAGAAAGAAAATTGCAGGGAAATAAAGTTTTAATATAATTATGAAATGAATCATACTTTTCAACCCCATATTTTTTACTTTTTCTTCTACCAAAAGTTTTTTATACGTATGTACCAATTCAATTTCAAATTTATTTATAAATTCTGAGTATACAATATTTAGAGGATGTAACTTTGAATTTCAAGAATACCTTATGACATTTTTTAAAAAATTGCCCTGCTATAATAAAAAAACAGGTACAGATAAGGCATGAATTTAATCTTCTAAGGCAGATGTCCAATAAATAGACTGTCAAAAGAAAGGGAATCAACATTCTTCTTGATATTCCTTTGCATTTCCTTTCAAATGTATGTTTGATTAGACAGTTTCTCAAGTCAGTTGTCTAGATTTTCTCATCTGGAAAGCTCATGATATTGACATTTTTCTCCTGAATATGTAAATGTGTAGACAATTTGAATATATGGGTATAGTAATAGTAAGTCAAATGAGCTCAATTCCACTTATGACTGAAGAACAAATTGGAAGTAGAAGAGTCTTTTCCATCATTATTAAAGGCAGACATTTTCTCCAAAGCAGTGAGACACTGGTCCTCTCACTGCTTAAGCAGTTTCAATAGCAAAAACAATTTGCTAAGATATGGATGCGTCTAGGAGATTGCAACTACAGTAGAAAGAAAAATCTCCTCACAAGGTCTCTAGGGCTTTGTAGGAGGTAGGGGTAGAGTTGATGGGGATCAATTAAAGAAATGAGCCTGCATCCCCATTCTATTCCCTGAGGATCACACGTCACCCAAAGAGAGCAGTGAAGAGAGCTTCTCTGTGGGAACTGAGATGGGATTCATGGTACAGTCAAATGCTGCAGCACAATTTCTGCTACTAATGCTCTGCTTTGCTCAAGCTTTAGAAGAACAGACTGAAATTTGTACTGGGCTGAGGACTCTTCAGGATGAACTCAGTGGCACAGCACTTGCCTGTCAGACGTGAGGCTCTGGAGCTGACTTCCCACACCAAAAAATACACCAAACAGAATAAAAAGAATATTACTAACTTTATAGGAGACTTTGAAAAGGGGCACTTAGAGGGGAATCAGATCCCTGGTATGTGCAGAAGGAGCTGTGAGAGGGCAAGGGTGTTAAAGGACTGAAGTTACCTGGTAAAGGGATGGCAGGGAGTAGGTACTGAAGAAATGAACAAGAATCATCCTCTGCTGCTTCTTTTCATGTTTTCATAAACATTATAGGTTATTTAATATATCATCACCTGAAATAATTCTGATATTCTTGAGAATATCAGTACTGATATTCTTGAGAAGGATTACATAAAACATCGTGGTGGATCACAGGTCAATAACATGTGTAGTAAAATCAAACTCAAAATCCTTATGTTTGATTGGAATGACACAATTACCAAATTAAAGTCCAGAACCACTCTATCCAATGTAGGGACAAAACCTTGCTGAGAAATTGTTAATAAAAGAATAATAGCCTGTAATTATTTTCTAAAGTAAAGCTGTAGATTCCCATCACAGTTCAGTACCCATAGAGATTAATCCAGCTAACAGATGCAAATATTTAAAAGTATTCCTGAATCGGAGCACGAATTCAAAGAAAGCACTTGATTTTTATGGTTTTGAAAGACTGGCTCCTAAAAATAAAAAATGAGGAAGTCATAAAGAAGAGATAGGCTTTGGGAAGGATTCTTCAGGAGTATTTATTGAAACATTGACAAGCACAACTATGAAACAGAGAGCAGGATTTAGGGAGTTCACATCCAGACGGAAGCCTGGCTTGACATCTCCACTGGGTATGCTTAAGTATGTACAACATGCTGGCCCCATCAGGGCCCTGTATGGAGGAAGTCAGGTAAACTGCATGTAGGATTTCAATGATGTTTCTGGGAAAATAGCTGCCTGAGATGATAATCATCATAGAATCTAAGTAGGAACATTTATTTTTGCTGATATCTCATTTTTTAACATGAAGAAACAGGACAGAGTGCAATGGAAATGCATATTGGATGACTTGGGTTCTAATGCCTATTCTGACACAGGAGGAGCACAGGCAAATTGTTTGGCCTGAATGGACCTCTGTTTCCCTATCTAAAAATTGAGGGGATTGGATTGGACTCTGATGCCCATAGAAACCAGAAGCAGCCAAGCCTTAAGATGATAAAGGCGTCTGACACTGAGGATGCTGTTGAGGCAGAAAATCTGACAAAATGGAGAGTGATCTTCTATTGGAGTGATCAGTAATCAGCTCCAATCAGATGTTTCTGGGTTAAGGTGGGCCCCATGTTTCCCTGTGGTCAGATTTTTCAAGAAAATAGATATATTCAGATTTTTATGTCAAATATTCTGGTTTTAAAATGCTTTTTAATGTAAAACATATCAGCAACAGCACTGTGAAGGCCAAACTAAACCTATGTGTGGGTGAGTTGGGGCTGGAGCCGCCATTTTGCTGCCTCGGTGTAATGTGCTCCACAGTTTCTCCTTCCTGTACGGTTTTACTGGTGGATGGAGAAGGGTGATCCTAGGGCTGGAGAGCACCAGCTCTCTGTACAATTCTATTTAATCTTCTTTTCTCTTGGTTGCATTAGCATATGTATACAGTAGGGAATCAGAGCAACCACAGTCAGTGGAATGGACGCACTTTTACAGAAAGACAGCATGTAAAACAAATGCTCTGTGTGAGTTGGGATCTTGATGAAGTGATAGAGCTGCAGTGTGGTCAATGAGGTCATTACGCAGAGCAGTCGGAAGCTCAGCTTATAGCTATTTTCCCCTCGGCAGCTCAAAAGGAACATCTCTGAGTTGATTGCAAAACCTAAGCCAAAGAGGACTCCAAGGTTTCTCACAAGTCCAGCAAAAGGTGTGGTGTCAATATGGATCCAGTCCGGGTTGGCACACCATTTTTTGGCTATGGGCACAGACCATAGCAGATCAATGTTGAGCAGTCTGAGAAGCAGGTAAAAGCCAAGTGCAAACAGGAAGAGGAAGAGGTTGGTCTTCAGATATGTGCTCAAGCTGGCCGTGTGGATGCCTGGAGTGTGTTCAAAGGCCTCTGCCACCAGCATGCCTGGGGATTGCAAGGAGACACGGGTGATTTCTTGAGTCCCTCAGGAATGGTACCTTCCTGCATTAAGTAATTTAGCTATAGTTTTCAGTGACAAACTGCTTTGATACCTAAATTCTGTCAATTTCCTAAAGCTTTTTTAGGCATCAACTGAGAATGCAATTTGCCCCATAGTCTTTTAACTACCCAAATTGTCCAATAAGGATCAGTCAGGAGTTGGTGGCACTGAAAGACAACCCACTTTATAGGCAGAGCACTAATCTAGGGGCTTGCAATAATATTTCAGTTGCCATAGCCAATTAGCTTAGAAAGCTTTTGAAAGGTACATGGGGCTGAACATCAGAAACTTAGTCATGGTAAACACAACTTTAGGAATACAAAGTAGTCTAGTTTGGTAAATGAAGCCCAGTCATGCAATAAGCACCTCAGATGTTTCACAGAAAGTGTCTTGGTGGCAGGTTTCGAGGTTATTAAGTTTCCCAAACCAAGGCACAAGTACCATTTCTGAAGTGAGCTTTGATAGTTGGTCTTTGCCATAATAACACATCAGAAAATCCAATCTCACTATGCAATTATGCCCCTGTACCACTGGGTAAGACTGTCACTGTGTACATAGAGGCTATGAGAAGTGTGTCGAACCATCTTAGCTCCTAGGGTAACATTTAGTATCAGTGGCTAAAAAGAACTACCTCTGAAGTTGGGAAAAAGATTACCAAAGAGAACCTGACACAATAAGACAAACAAAGCAAAACCTTTCAAATGATACAACTGAAGATAAGTGATCATATTTACCGCCAATTACTCCAAGAATAACTTGATGAGGAAAATGTGTTGCTATGAATACTCTGGAGATGCAGACACTGATTTGAATCAACCAAAAAAGACTCCAAAGAAATGACCAGGTCAGTCTACGGAGGAAGAATAGATACAAGCGTAAAATGCACACAGACTGTATCACTCACAAAATGGGGGTGGGGGTGACACTAGGTGATCCTTCTCAGAGGAATCTTCTAGCTATGATGGAACATGATTCTAGTTTTTTTTCCCATATATTTTCATGTGCACCATAGTGTTCAAAAACTTCAATAGAGGTTTCTACATTTCTTAATATATTAAATTTAACTAGCACTATCTCCTGAAATTTTAATAAATGCTTAAAAGGAACCAATTTGATGTCTTTGAAATAAGGAAAACTTTTAATGGAAAAACATTTGGGGAAATATGAGTTTGGGGGAATTAATATCCAGGACAATCAAGAACAGACCAGGTGTATATGTTTCGTGCCCTATCATATGTGCTTTCTCTTTACCCTCCTCTCTCAGCCTTTCTTTATTTGAAGAAAACACATTTCTTCTGTTTGAAGAAAACACAGAAAGTAAGGGATATGGAAACAGGCTGTCACTTTCAATTAGAATAAGCAATGTGCAAAAAATTTATAAAAATATTAAAATGCAAGGAATGCTTGTCACTCAAAAAAAGTTAACAGCATAGAGTTCTAGGAATCTGTAATGGCTTGTCCCCAATAGCCAGAAGAAATTTAGAGAAAGAGTGAATAATGAAGAGAAATGAGACTATCAGAGAAGGAGAAAGCAGGAATTATCCATGTGGATAAATAAAAAGGGTTTGGTAATGTCAAGGTAAGAAGACACTCAACAAAGTTTTATAGACAGAGAAAATTTTGATGTTATAAAAATAAAAATGGAGCTATAAGAATTTTTTTACAGAAACTTTTTTCTTTGTTAATTGGAACAAGGAATAAATTACAGAAACTTGTATCTTATATTCTTTAATACTACTTTAAAAAGTAATATATATGATAGATCTTGAAATGTTTTTAATTTAGAAGAACTTCTATATAATAGTATGTATTAGTTACTTTTTAAGGCTAATTAATACTCTTATCATAGGTAGCCTAATAATTTATACCCAAAGTGGTGCTAAGGATTGTTTTAAAGAATTTCAGAGAAAAAACAAATGCCTCAATTCCTACAAATCTTAAGTAATCTCAAACTGTGTGCCTTTCTAAACGTTAAGAAATCTCCTAACATTAAGTCTATTAACATTCAAATTTAAGTTTTCCTCTATACTGTTTTTAATCAAATAGGGTGCACACTCATCAAAGCTAGAATATATGTTATTGCTCTAAAAAGCATGGGCTATTCCAAGTAGGGAACGTAATTTTGCCACACAAACTGATGCATTCAAGGGGAATAATGATTCTTAAAACTTCCAATTAGTCTTAAAGCAAGGGAACTTGCACACAAAAGAAATATTTTCTTACATAATTTTAGATGACTTATTTAGAAGTTAAATAAGAACTGAATTTTGGAAACCCAGAGGCACATTTAGCGAGTCATTAATCAGTTAAACATTTCCAGCTCTATTGTAAAGTGGCAACAGCCATGAGCTAATTGGGACATTATCTTAAAGCAAGATATTAATTTTCTATTCACTCTGCTACTCTGGCTATAACAGAACACCATAAGCACATTTTATTCAACAACCAAAAATACACTAAAATGAATTCTTATGAGAAGAGATTATGTGTTCAAAGATGTTAGCTCCAATGCTACAGAAACTGGAGCCAAGCTGACCTGTGCAGAGTGATAGAGAACTTATCCATCCGACCGACAGAGTGGCTCAGGGCAGCTGTTACCATGACATACCAGACACACGATGAACCCATTGCATGGCCAGAGGGACTTCCTGCAACAAGTAGCATCCATTTGAAAGATGGTTAATTGAACATCGAGGTCAGAAATAGACATGAGAACAGCACAATTGCCACAAGAATTCCAAATAACTCAGGAAAAGAACCACAGGACATTGACAATATGTAATGTTTAGGGAGCAGGTAAAAATAAGGAAAATTGAGTCAAACTGAGTAAACACTATCACAAAAATATTTTTTCTAGGTTTGCAAGTTCATTGAATTCTAGACGTCTATATATTCCAGGGTAATTAAGAACTTAGGCTTTTTCACCAAAATCTAAAACAACAGTATCCATTCTTCCTATTTGATTGTTTTTAATTGACAAGAAAATTAAAGTATTTATATTGGATCTTGAATCAGTTTATTTTCCTTGGGCTGAAAAGTCAAACTCTAAAGAATATCATTGCTAGGTTTGTGGTTTACTGATTGATTTAGAAATGACAGCTGTGTGCAAGCAGCTATCTGTATGCCTAGCTTGTCGCTGCTGCAGTGAGGATCTTCTTATGAAAGGGGAGCAAGGAGAAGCTGTCGAGGCAGCATCAGCCTTGGCAAAAAAAAATCAGGTAGCCTCTCTAGTTCCAGAATGTCTCTCTCATGCTGTTTGGTTTTATTTTTAATCACTGTGCTTTGATGTTGGCCAGAATTTTTCCCCTAATTGATATTCATTCAGTTAGATAAGTCAGTCTCTGAAAACACAAGACACTAGTCTCCTTTTTTCTAAACAAAGACAAACCAGGGCTGGGGATTTAGCTCAGCGGCACAGCGCCTGCCTGGAAAGCACGAGGTCTTGAGTTCAATTCCTGGTACCGGAAAAAAAAAAAAAACAAACAAACCAAAAAAAAAAAAAAAAAAACAAAGACAAACCTATTCCCAATCTATAGGAATTTTCAAAAGCTTTTGCATACTTAAGCAAATTGTATGTCCCCAAGGGGCAAATAGACTCTCTCTTTCTCTCTCTCATCTCATCTCATAGACCCTACACACATACACACACACACACACACACATGCACACACACACATACACATACATGCACACACCCCTCATAGGACAGAAAAAATGTGGGGAAGTGGTAGAATAGACCAAAACACATTTGAATCATCTCCAAGATTATCCACCCATCCATTCATTTATCCATTCATTGCACATTAATTTCACAAAGATAGCAGTATATATCACCCCTGCCCTGATGGGGCACAGAGGCACAGAGTCTAAGCAACCAGATATAATGGAATTATAGTACAATATGATAAGTGATATAACAGATATATGTATATTTTTATGGGAACAAAAGAGCGTTCAGAAAAGCCATCAGAACACATGCATTCACTATATTCAGGGTTATTTTCAAAGGATTTCCAATTGCAAGAATTTTATGCATTGTAGCTGGTGAGGTACAATAAAACACATTCTTATAAATTAAAACATTGTGTAATTTTCTTTTATGTACATTTCAAGTAACCGTTTAAATAACCTTTCTGGAATCTTTCTTTCGTCGTTGGCAGTGCTGGGGATCAAACCCAAGGCCTCACACACGCTAAGTGAGCAGTCTGCCACTGAGCTACATCCCAGTCCTTCTCTTTACAGTCCTAAACTTCTTATTCCAAATCTTATTTCTAACAAAAAGGAAGTGTTCCAGGAAGCCTACTTACATGTTACACATACAAGAGAAAAAAGCTGCTCTAAGATTAGAGATAGTGTTTACTGGAAACAGTAATATTGAGAAGACCTTACCCTTCTTACAGAAAACTTGCCTGTTCTCGTGTTCATGAGATTCTCAGAAGACCTATAATAACTTTGAAAGTTGCTGAGCAACAAATAAGTCATACTTTTAGGACTTTAATATTATTCTTTGGGAATTTGTTCTGTTTTCCGGTTTGTTTTAGTATCAAGTCATTACACTCCTCCAAAAAGTAAATGCTCAATTATAAAATTATTTGGGGAGTATTCTACAAACCTATTCTCTCACCAATAACAAAATGGAATTTTATTATTCATAAAACTTCTTTCTCACTGGGAATTTTGATGCTTACGAATTTTTAGCATCCTCACTTGTGACTTTTTCATTAATACTCTATATAATATCATAACCCTTATGTGATGATAATCATACATAATGACTATCTGTTGGAATATCTTCAGTAACTTGAGGCTACTTTAATTGCTTACCTGGACCTGTTTCACATGTAGTAGGGAATTGTTCAAGGCATAGGCTTGAGTGATTTGGGTAAATCTGAGTTTCTTGAACCCACCAATAAGGCCGATGACCAAATAATATCCTGTATGTGGAGAAATATGAATATTCATACATATATTTAAACACACAATTATTACTTAGTTGGGGACAATTTTCTTCTATAAAAATGACCTAAGTAGAAAGTTGATGAACAAAGCTCATGATTGAGAGACTCTGAAATGACTTGGGTTCTGATCTTTCACGCATAATAAAGGAGGATAATCACTTGGGGTTTTGGCACCCTAGTGTCCCATAAACATAGGGACCTTTTTCCTTGTGAGAAATGCCCTTTGGATGATTTGGGTACTTAGGAAATATCAAAATAATCCTTAAAACCATTAACCTGTTCATAATAGTGCTGCTCACTTAAGTAACTTATTGATTAATCAAAAAATGTCATAGGGTTTTGGAAATTACTCATAAGTCAGTTAAAGTATACATTTCTACATTTCTGTAATTTCTACTTTAAATATTAAAATAGCATGCTTGAAAGACTTTCCAAGTTACATTATCCATATGTGAAAGCCAAATCAACAAATTTAAGAAGTTTTAGGTAAAAAGAAACAAGACAAAGGTCTTACCATTTAAATATAAGATTGAACCAATCCCCAATGACCGCTACCCATATCATCTTGGTTCCAACTGTCTGATTAAGTTGAAACCAAAGTGGAAAATAAATGGAAAAGATATTCCTGGGGTCTCCAACACTGGACATAAAATTTAGAAAATCATAGTAAGCTCGGTAGTCCTTCTGCAAATGTTGAATAACGAGCACTCCATTCCTATGAAGAAAATCCATCTTGAGAAACAGGCAGATGTAAACATAGAGCAATTGGGACTGAGTACTCTGAGTCCCGCTGGTTTTATACACTACCCTCACGGCGTGTGGAGCCATTACTGTGACATGTGACACTCACCATCTGTGGAGAAGACATGTCTGTGTTCACCTCTGTTGAAAAGGTCATCTGTTTGTGATTTTAATTGGTGGAAAAGAAGTGAAGTACATGCTGATCTGTGGCAATTTGGGGAGAAATTTGGATAGAGCACAATGAATTTCTTATGCAATCTCCCATTTGTGTGAACAGTTGGATTGTGTTTGCTTGAAATTTTTTGCACAGTTCATTTCCTTCAGGGGCAGACATTAGCAATTTCAATGCTTGGCCAGAAGACTATGCAAATAATTATTGCATGTCAAATAGCTCTTATTAAAGCCTTGCATTTTAATGTATGATAGACTGTAACACTGACTATTCTATTGGGTCTTTGAGGAAAATGGTAAAGATGTGGACGTGAAAATTTTGTGTGGTGTGACAGATTATTTTCTGATTATAGAATTTTGAATAAAATGTATAAATGTAACACATATTTATAAATAATAGTATCTATTATCAAAGAGAAGAATAGGAGGTAGATGGTAGAAGCATAAAAGGTAGAAAGTAGATGGAATAAGGAAAGAAATATACAGGGTATAGGAAATCTGGAAGGAAATACATTACTTTTTTGACTGTGAGGCAAAAAAAAGTAGAAATAGGGGTCATTTGGGTAATAGAAATATGTTAGAATTGAGTTGTGTTTTTATTGACTAGAGAATATAGTTGAGAGGATTTGAGAGTTGCTCTTATGCCAAAGAGGTGAGTAGGCTTCAGAGCACTTTTCACCAATTAGTAAAATGATTTGTTGAAAACAGTGTTCACTAGAAGTAACTGGTGGGAATGTCAGGTGGGAACGAACAGAAAGGCAGGCTAGAGACCTCAGGGTCTCAGTCAGAGTGAGATGCTGACTTTATAGCGCACTAAGTTCTGCCTAAGAAAGTACAAATGGAAGCAAGTGAGCCTTGCCAGGTGGCCAAAGATGGCTGTAGCTATAGTCTTGGTTACCTCACTGTTCGGATAGCAGATTTGCCAACTGCAGCCTCCTTCGCTAGCAACCATCTTCATAGGCTGTGAACAGCACCTTGAACTTCTCTGAGTTTTGTCCTAGCATTTAACAGCATCATTGTTATTAACACTGGTACCTCCCTGGCCTCTGTTACTTCCCCCAGAAGCAAAGGTTTGGTTGACCATTAACATCTTTTGGGGTACTTTTAGAAAATGATATCTTTATCTCCTCCCAGATCAATTTAATTTCAAATGGTGAGACTCAGGTATTGGTATAATGAAAGTACTTCCCAATAGATGCCAATGTAGAATCAGGATTTAGGATCATGCTGAAGCAATCTATGTGAAATATCAGACTTGACTAATCAGTCTATGCTTCTGGGGTTTTTGTGAGCATTTTCAGGTTCTATAATTTCCATAATCTCTTTAATGAGCCATGAAGAAGAACATAACTTTCCTTTATTCTTTTTCTAAGAAGTGTTTGAGCTGCATAATTCATAATATTCATTTTCTTCAGAAGTGTCTTGTCCTTAAATCAGGATAAGAATGATATCAAATAAATTTTGTCTTACAATTACAATTAAATTTCATGCTCATTCAACACTTCAGAGTCTGTGGACTGTGATGAAGTTGACCGTACATTAGCTTTTCATCTTACATAGTTAATTTAGAAAGACTGTCTCTGGAGGACTGTCTGGTTCTGTAGATGGTGGGATAATTATCTGAAACAAAAGCACCTTGATTCCTCTTGCCCTTTAACAGAATCAGCGAAATCTTTTTCTTTGTCATAGTTCATTATTTTAGTCATTTCCAATATTGTCTTCTATGCAGTTCCTTGGTGTTGACAGATCCTCAACCTTCCTCTGACAAACATATTTTTAAAGGACATTGTATTAGTTTATTGGAGCTCCATAACAGTATCAGACTGTATGTCTGTGAATATCCCTGTCCTAATCTGCTCTTCTCATAAGGACACCAGTCACTTTGGGTCGAAGCCCACCTTAATGGCCTCATTTTAGCCTGATCACCTCCTTTAAGGATTCTATCTTCAAATATAGTCACCTTCTGGGATACTGAGGTTTAAGACTTCAGATTATCAGTTTTGGGAAACCATAAAACACAGTGTGACCCATTACAGAGATTTAAGTACAATTTGTAATTGTACATTTATTTTGAACTTAGTATTTTTCTCCTGCACTGCCATATAAGCTGCATAAAATAAGGGCTCAAGGGCTGGGGATTTAGCTCAGTGGCAAAGCGCCTGCCTGGCAAGCGCAAGGTCATGAGTTCGGTTCCCAGTACTGGAGAAAAACCAAAAAAAAAAAAAATCATAAGGGCTCGGATCTGCTCTGTGGACCAGCCAGGGAGACAGCACTGAGCACAGATCCACACAGGGGCTGACAGCTAGAGGCTCCTGGGGTGCTCCTGGGGGTGTTCAAGTAAATTAATAATTTTATGTTAATTTTTCAAAAGAGCGCCCCTGGTATTACAATTGCATTAGATCCTGCAATGCCTGGGACTTCTCTTGGACCCACTGTCGCTTTCGGTATTCATTAAGTATCTACTGAATGAACAAATGGAGCTAAACTCAATATGAGCACTAACTTATGAGCACTATGTTTTAAAACACTCTTATTTGCTTAGTTGAAATTTAAATGCATTTTCCCACAGGGATAATTCTATAAAGTGACTGTCTTGGTTCCTTTAAGGTTTAACATAAGGAAACGAAGAGGATAAAGGAAGTGGGGATAGAAGCTAGACCTCTTCGAATATACTTATTTTGTAGATTTGACTTTAAAACCATGTACATATTTTACACAATCATAAAATAAAATTAAAGTTAAAAGCCATGCATGGAAAAGTTAAAAAAATGAAAAAATTTGAAAATGAAAACACCTAACCCCTCACACTAATGAACTATTTGTCAGCATTTCTATGTGTTTTATGATTTGTTCCTGTGAGAAATCTCTTTTTAAACATTTCCTTAGCCATCCTCAGCTTGCCATCTCCCGCCAGAGTTGCTATAGCATGGGGTTGAGGTCCTGCCCAGGACTTACCTGACATAGAGGGAGTTACAGGCGATTAGCTCTTTCTAGAACTAGTAATCTTTCAGTGGAGATTTTTCTCTCCAATAACACACTGCATAACAAGCTGAGTCACCTCAAAGCCAGGGTTGTTAGAGTTTCAGGTGTGTCCCAAATAAGTTTAGCAATGGCAGATTTAAACTACCTAGACCAAAATAAAAAAGAAAGTAGACCTGCCGTTATGCTCATCTGTTTTTTGAGGTTGTTTTTCTCAAAGTGTGATCCACCTACGGACCATCTGCCTCCTGCTACCTCATGCAAATGTCTAGGCCCACTCCAGATCACGGAACCAGTCTCTTTGGGAAATGTCCAAAAATGTGCCTCTTAATAAGCTCCCTGCAGGGTGCTTAAGCACATCAAGTTTTAGAAGTTCTGTTTTAATTCACTACTCCTTCGATATAAGGTGTTTATACCCCTGCTGTGCCTCTAGGTGGAGTCGACCCTTCTTAAATCACTTTTTCTCACTTGCCTTGTTTGGAGTTGTATTATTTCATTCCTTTTCATGGATGTGGGCTGTTCTCATGTCCTTCCTTTTAGAATCTCCTTTCTATTCCCCTTTCTCACCAAAAGCACACAGTAAGATCTCAAAAATATTAGCCCTAATTAATATTAGTTATCATTTTGCTAAATAGCTTGTCAAATGGAATTGAAGTCAAAGGCTGAGATTCTTGATCAGAGCAGAAGTAAGGCAAAGTAATAGAATTACAGGTTTATACAAAATTCTTACGTTGTATCTGTTTTGTACTGTGACATCACTGCCTCTTTTTCTCTTTTTCTCCTCTGTTTTCTCCTTCCTCTCTGTTTCTTTGCACCTGTCTCTCCTCTTTTTTCTTCTGTCTCACCCTTGGTATCACACTAAATACTTAGTTATCTAAGTCTTTGAATTGATTGGCTCCAACGTTACTCTCTAGCTTGAAACTAGAGAGAACTCCAAGAAAGCAGAGACAAATTTGAATTGTTCACCACTGCATCTGGAAATCAAACCAGATGTCCTACACGTAGTAAAGGGTCTTCAGAAAATCGCACAGCCAACCACCATTCCTTTCTGGATCAGTTCAGAAAATTGCACAGCCAACCACCATTCCTTTCTGGATCAGTTCATTTTCTTCTTTTAATAGTAGAATTCTCCAATTGATTCCTCCAAACATTCACCAACTAGAACTCTGCTCTGCCAGGAAAGCATTTTTGCAAGAAATCTCTTCAGTCATCAATAACTTGGTTTGACTTACTTAAGGGTCAGTAGGTGTCCTGAAATTGCTTGCAAAATGTTTGTACTTGGGCACTTTTCTTGGAAGAAGGCCACCAGCTTTCACCAGATTCTCAGTGAAATCCCTGACCCAAACAAATTAAATAGTGTAAAGTTCACTGGCATCCCATGCACTGTCTATGGTGTTTACACTCAAGATCCCATCATTTTCTTAGTTTCCTTGGAGATGTCTAAAGTACCCCACCCTCCCCGTATGATTTGCTTATCTTAATGACTTTCTTAATCTTAAAGACTATTTCTGTATAAAAAGAAAATAAGACATTTTTTTTAACATTTTTATTACTGGAGCCAGCCTCAATCCCCTGTACTGCTGCTTTATTTTTAGTTAGTGCTTATAATGGAGTACTTTCAGTTCTTTCCAGAATGTTCTCATTCTGGTTCACTTAAAATTTCCCTATGTTTTGATTTAAGCATATTCTGCCTACTTTACTTAAGAGTGCAACATGTCATACAGAGGCCAGAATTTCTTCAATATACTTTGCCATTTCAAGTTTTATATAATCCTGAGATTTATTTTTATCTTAAAATGAGCCATTCATCTCTGAGTTACAGTGTTCACTGCTATTCAACATCATTCAGAGCGATTTGGCTTTAGTTTGTGTCACTTATGCAGTGGAAGCAAAACAAAAATAGATTTTAGAAGCATTGATCTTCAGTGTTCTTGCATGGTCCTTATCCTTTTACCACAAACTTATCTGCCTTCCCTAAAATAAATTGTTTTTGAGAACTCTCCAGTGTCACCTTGCTATGTGAAATTGATTTATTTCATACTAAGTGTAGACCCTGGTGACTTTCAGAGAATAATTACTTTGATTCTGGCTAGCATCCCAGGAATACTGGCATTCTATAATGACACTATTATAAATGATCCTGCTACAACTGTTCCAGGTACCCCCTCCATTAGTCTCATTACATGCTATTCTCTAGAGATGATCATGACCCATATATTCAAAATCTTTTTCTTGGATCACTAGAGGAACTGAAACAGTTGCCCATTGAGCAATTTTCTATTAATTTTCCTACAGTAGAGCTAAGATACTGCATGTTGTGAGTCCTTATAAGTGTAAGGCAGAAAATCTCAAACTTCAATGTGTATCCAACTCACTTGGGGGGCTCCTTTCAATACATTGTAGGGATCCATTGCTAGAGTCTAATGTGGTAGGAGTGGAGGAGGTCTGAAAGGTGCATTCCTAACAAGTTCCCTGATGATGGTGATGCTGTTGGGTGGGGAACCTCACTTCTGAGAAGCAGTAGTTTAAGGCTGATTCATGCATGTACAGGGCAGAGCAGAAATAGATCATACCTCAAGAAGCTTGAGCTCTAGTAGAATAAGTATTTTCACAAATAACATTTCACTGTGCATTTAGAGGTGAAAAAATAGAGTACATGGAAGAGAGGCGAGGCAGATATAGTGTAACTTTCAATCTATGTGGCTTCAGAGCTTTGGTGAAGGAAGAGCCAAGTGACCAGAGGCTTGATATATATGTAGAATTTGGAAATGCAAAATGTAGACTAATAGGAAAATATTTTCCAGCATATGATGGGGATAACATCATATTCTTGTAAAAAATAACATTAATGAATAGATGACACTTAGTAGTTATAAAAGAAATTTTTATTTTTTCCGTGTGTGAAACAAGTGAAAAATTATACCCAGAGTAGTCAACTTCTTAAAGACAGAAAGTAGAATGTTGGCTGCCACTGCGTAGCAGGAGAAGAGAGTGGGATTCATGATCAAATGGGTACAGAGTTTCAATTTTGCATGATAAAAAAGAGTTCTGGAGGAAAATAAGGTTGATGATTGCACAGCAACGTTAATATAATGTCAGTGAACTGTTAAGGGTTATAAATTTTATGTTTTATGTATTGTACAAAAAAACTTTTAAAAACTGAAATTTTCTCACTGTTTCAAATGTTTTCTGAGTGCGTACAAAAATGTACTCTTTTTCTCTAAAGCTTAGATATTTGTCATTTTTATAACTTTATTGAGGAATAATTTACGTACCATAAACTTAATTATTATAAATATATAGCTCAATAATTTTTAGTACATTTTGAGTTGTCTTCAGTCACCACGCACCAGATTTGGAACATTCCCAAAAGCTCAGAGCGTTCCCTCGTGCCCTCCGGCTGTCACTGTCAGAGTCCGTTCCTGGCCCCAGGCAACCTCTGAACTGTTTTCTGTCTCTATGGATTTCACTCTTCTTTTTACGTCATACAAATGGAATAATGTACAGTAATATGTAGTCATTTGCATCTGACTTCTTTCACTTATCATCATGTTCTTGAGCAGTTTTCATTAATAAATGCTTCTTAGTTTGGTATAAGCCTTCAATCAATTTCCAGGGCACTGAAATTGTTGTTTTTCATAATTTTGGACAATTTTATAGTTTTTTTTTTGGAGGGAGGAGATTTGGTGACTTCATCATTTCACTATGCTGGAGGCTCCAGTGTTTCCTTTATTTTATTGTATTTTTAAATTCTAGGACCAGGTGGAACGGGTGCTGAAGATGGACTCCCCTTTAGAAACTGTATTTTGTTCATAGCAATTTCAGAAGATTTATTTTCTTGGATTGTTTATTCCAGTGCTTTCTGACATTGCTCAGGCAGCTCTTGACAGGATTTAAAATTTCTGTTCAAGAGTCGTTTTGAATACAACAAGTAGTTTTATATAATATGTTCTTAACTTGGAATACACAGGAGTTGCTTTCTTTTCTTCTGAATTCATAGAAGTTTTTATACTTTTTCGTTTTCTCAGTGAATGTGTTTTGAAAGTTCATGTGCTAGCATTTTCAGGTTCAACATAAGTGTGAATGTAAGTATAGAGACCCTTATACTTAGCAAGGTGAGGAATTTCTAGTTTATGTGCTGCCCAAGTGAGCATGGAACTTCTAGTCTAAACCATGACAATGCTCCTTATTTCTCTTCTTTACTCTGCCTAAGATGGAAAATACCTACTTAGGTATGTTCTATAGGAAACAACATCTATTTCTCCTTGAACCCTAACATCCTCCCCATATTACAGACAAAATTAAGTTTTCAGAAAAGAGATGGTGAACTTTCAGTTGGTTTTAGAAAACCTCCTTAACGTCACCACCCAGAAACACCTCCAGACCGGGAAGATGTATCATCTTCCTACTCATAAGCCTACAGAAATGAAACCCTAGGTCATGGACCGAATATCCCAGAGAAATCAGTGCACAAATCAGTATATGACACGTAATACTTAATAAATCCTGGCTGGATTGAAATGAAAGGCACATAAATATGGTAGTCGTGCTGTTGGTGGTGGAGTGTGGGTGGTGATGGGACAGGGCAGAACTTCATCTTTTTTCCCTTTTCTAAAAGCTTAGGAAGCTGGGAGTCCTATTCTATGTACTGAGCAGAAAAAAGAGCTGGGTGTCCCGAGTTATGCTTCAAGGAATAAAGAGAAACCGCTTGCCTAGTCTTTCAGAGATTATTAACAACCCAAACACCAACAGTAATAAAAATTCTTTAAAAAAAGAAAGAAAGAAACATTTCAGAAACCCTTCTCTGCTACTTTCCCAGGTAAAACTGAGCCTGGCCGTCTCTCAGATTAAGAACTACGAATCCCAGAATACCCTATACCTGAGATTTTTTTTTTTTCCCCGCGAGAATTCCGGAGTTTTGGTTCACCAATCACTGCATAGAAAACCTGTCCTATTAGCCAATCAGAGGGCGAGTAGGCTCCAGAGGCGGGAGGCGGGAGGTGCCCTGCGTTTGAAATCGGAAATTTGGCGCTGCAGTTGGAACTGGGTCTGGAGGTCCGCCGGGGGCTGGAGGTTTCTCTGCTTTTGGGGGAAGGCAACTGACCTCAGGCCTGTCAGCCACGGCGACGAAGGTGGGAGCCGGGCTGGGCCCTTGGATTCGCCTGTTGTGAAAGGGGAAGTAGGTGAGGGCGGCATGTTTACATATTTCGAGAGGGGTTTGTGAAAAGCGCTCTTTGCTTTGTGGGGCTGGGGTGGGGTGGGAGGGCAGCGGGGAAGCCATGGGGTCCTGGGTTTCACTGAGCAAGATGTCTTTGGCCGTCCTGGTGAGGTTTCAGCGTAGCAGAGAACTGGTGGGCTTGGAGTATTCCAAGATACCCTCTACAGAGGATAGCGGGGCCGGATTGATGAAGTGACCAGCCACCCGTCTCCATTTCACTGCGCTCTTCCTGTTCCAGGGTGGAAAGAGCAGGCAGGGTAAAAGTGTGAGGTCTTACGCCTAGGGGTGGTGATGGTGTCAGTCTACCCCTGGTGATAGAAGTTGTCAGTTTTACTTGTGAGAAAAACAGAGTCAGTTTCCCCAGGGTCCTAGAGCTGTGAGTCTCCTTTGCAATTGCACTTTACTTACAAGTTCTTAGAGGGTCAAGGTGATCCGGATCCTTGCTGCACCTTAATCACAGTTAGGCCCAAGTGGCTTGATTTATTAAGGACTATCTAGTACGAAAAATTCAGTTGCTAATTATTTTCTAGTGAGAGTCAAACTGTCAGAGCATACTTGATTTGAGTATGTGGTTTATTTGGTTTTAGTAACTTCTAAAATACGTGTTCTGTGTTTCACAGTGTCTTGCACAATGGTAGAAGATGAGTTGGCGCTCTTCGATAAAAGCATAAATGAATTTGGAAATAAGTTCAGAAACACTCTCAGTGACACCCCCTGTCAGATGGTGGGACTAAGGGATGCCTATAAGGACTCCGTTAAAGCTCTGGCAGGTACTTACAGCTACCGTGTGACTTGCTGTTTTTGCCACTTTTGTTTTCCAATGTCATGTGAGCTGAATTGAAATTCACTTTCAATTTCTTTTTCAGAGAAGCTGTCTGTGAAATTAAAGGAGGAAGAACGAATGGTTGAGATGTTTCTGGAATATCAAAATCGTACGTGAAAATCTGTAGATCAGAATCTTTTTTAGATTTAATATATTTATCATGAAATCTCTCATACAAGTAAGAAAGTACGACAATATAGTGAATGTGTTTATATGTTTACACATATGATACATCCTTATGTGTAAAAAAAATAAACATTATGTTCCTACCACCCTGTTTAAGAAATTGGACATTCTATGTTAGACTTTCCTCCCACCTTCTAAAACTACTAGTATTTAATAGTGTGGTTTTGAATGTTATATAAATGGCATCATTTTGTATATTTCCTGTTCCTTTTTTCACTTAGCATTATACTTGGGGGATTTGTGTATGCTGACTTGTAAATGCCAGCATTTAAAAACAAATGTTTTAGTGAAAATCACTGTGTGGGGATTAGAAAGCCGTTGTCTCTCAGCACTTTGGGATAAGCTTAGTATGAGGGGTGATAAAAATATATGGTGATATTTAAATTTTTTAAAAAATATATTATTTTATAATTAAAAAACACATTGCTGTTACTGTCCTTCAAAAAAACCTCTCTCACTTTGAATGCAATTATTCCATCATTCTTGCCATTTTGTGAAGTAGTTCTGAAAGTGCTCTTTTCTGAGCACCTTTATGAGGTGTGATAAAAAATATAGTGCCATCCAACACAAAAACAGGCTTGTAAAAAAAATCACTGGGTATCCTTATCCATCTTACTCACTGGATATGGACCATGTGCCCTCTGCTTCTTCAAAGTCAGAATGACCACGAAAGGTAAATGCTGCATAGATTCAGGACATCAAGGGGGCCATGACAGCTCAACTAGAGACCTAATAAAAACTTCCAGAACTGCTTCCAGAAGTGACAAGAACAATGGAATAAATGTGTTCTATGTGAGGAAGAGTACCTTCAGAGGGATTAATGGCAACGTGCCCTTTTTTTTTTTCTCTTTTTTTGAGAACGGGAAACAAAACCAAGAACCCAAGCCTACCAAGCAAACAACTAAGCCGCCGAACCAAAACCCCGGCCCCGGGCCCTTTAACAAAAAAAATTTTGAAAAAATTAAAACCAAAGGTTTGAACCCAACCCAAAATCCGGCAATTTTTTACATCGTTTTTACTGCCATTCTTTCCGTCTTCTTTGTACAGCTCTCCAGATTGTCCAAAGTGGATCAGTAATTCTCACTGAATTCTCACACAAAAGCTACAGACTTGTGGTTACAGAGCAAATTCTATTAGAGATACTCAATTTAGTAGCGCCTTCATTTAAATTGGATTAAATTGAAACATTTTTACGTGGGGCATATTTGATCTTCACTTGCCACACTCATTCGACTAAGTTTTCTTTTGCCTTGCCTGCCCTTTCACTCACTTTTTGGCCCATTAGCCATTTGACTAGTAATTATTTTACCTACATTCACTCTCTAAACTGTCCTGAAGCTTTTCTCATCCCCTCGGTGATTGATACTGAGAGATTAGAAAATTAGGTTTGAAATTGTCAGTTTCCCTGCAATTGTGATTGTGATTCTCAATGTGTGCTCTTAAATATCTTGATATGAAGATGTGCTATAAACATTCGAACAACAGCATTATTTTTATTTTAAAAAATGACCTTATACTCAAACAGAAATATAATTTACCTAAATTCAACTATCTTAGCCAGCGACCTAAGAGACAATGCATAGGGTAATCTGCTCACAATTTAGTGGAGGATATAGATGAGGAAACCACAGTTAAAATATAATAATTGCTATAATAATGGAATAGTGTTGTATGGGCGTAGAACCTGGATTTTCCCAGTGATAGATAATTCAAGAATACTTCATAACAAACCCTTGCCTTAATTCCATGTGCTAGACCCTGTTCTAAGTTTTTTGCATATATTGACTCATGAATATAGACAACCATCAGGTGAATAATGTTTTCAATCCTGTCTTATAGATGAAATATACACAGACAGGTTCAGCGAATTGCTCAAGGTCAGACAGCTGGAAAGGAACAGGAACATGATTTGAGCGCATGCAGTCTGATTATATACCCTACCCTAGAGAAGGTCATATAGAGGAGGGTTGGAGAGTTCACCAGAGTGAGCACTACCTCTTAGGAAGGGGCGAGGACAGCGTGTGGAGTGTAGCAGAAACTTCAGAGCTTTTTTGTCCTGGATGGTCAGAGTGCAATGTGGGTGGGGAGTGGCAGAGAAGTAGCTGGAAAGAGAACTAGTTTGACACGCACTAGACATTGCATGTTGTACAAAGGAGTTTAGGCGTTTCCAGGAGATAAGCAGTTGCTGCAGGATTTTAACCTGGAACGTGGTAGTGGATTGTATTTCAAGAGAAGCATTCTGACAGTGTCATGCACAGTGGAGAGGAAGTGGTGGGATAGTAGGCCATGGAGGCACACAGTGAGGCGGCCTGCGGCAGTGGCAGCCCAGTGGGTACGCAGTCATGACTGCCGTCCTGCAGGATGTTTCCTGTCTTTTGATGTGGTGATGCATTTCCTATGTGAGGGATTAGAAGAGGGGGAGCATACTTGTAGAGGTGGGAAGAAAACAGAAATGGGTTCAGTTTTCAAAGTGCTGAGTGAATATGTTGAGATTATTGTGCTGTGGTCCTTGTAGGTAGACATGTCTGGTGGGCGTTGGATAGCTTGATCTGGAGGCCGCAGGAAAGAGGTCTTTGCTGAAGATAAAGACTGGGGAGTCTTTAATGTATTCAAGAGGTTGAGGCTGTGAAGAATGTGTAGAGTGAAAGGTAATCGTAATCATAGTGTAGTCATTGATACTTAGCGAATGGTTACTGTGTGTCATGTACTATGTGTGGTACACTCTGCATTCACCATCTTTAATCCTGACATCTCTCCCAAGTAGGTATTCAGGATTATATTCAGCAGATGTTGTTAATAAGATTACCGGCCCAGAGGGTTTGCCAGACCTTCAGGAAGCGTGACTCATCACCTTGCCTTTGTAGTTGGAGAGGGGAATATATGGACAGGATCAGAAAGACAGAATTAACAAGTGGAAGAGCAAAGGAAGCTTGAGGGAAGGTCCTAAGAAACTAGCAGAGGAAAGAACCCAGACAGGGTATTGTTAACACTGAGAAGGACCGATAAGGTAGATAGATTCAGATAATATTTTGGGACTAGGAAAGGTTAAGAAGACTCATTCACCTGCCAAATAATTGTTGAGGTGCTACTTTGTGACAGGTTCTCTTAGGAAGATAGAGCAGAGAACAACCAGCCTGACATGAAGTGCCTGCCCATCTAGTTATGATCATCTATGGAAAGTTCATCTGCTGTAGACAGGCTCTTGAATTATTTGAATCCTGAAATCTGTCCAGGATTTGGATAGAGTTTCTGTGGGATTTTAACCTGGAAAATGATAGTGCATTTATGTTCTGAAATATATTTTGGCAAAGTGTCATGCTGAAAAGCACTCTGGCAGTGTCATGCATAATAAATAGGGCAGACAGATGTTGGGCCAACAGCTGTCTGAAAAGGTGTCTGTTTCAAAGATGAGGAAATTGAAATTGAACGTCCCTGAAGTTAAGAAATTTGCCTAAGGTCAGTCATTGGATAAATAAAAGACGTAGGGTCACAGCCAAAATGTGCTGCTCTTCCCAGGGGACCATAGGTACTTAGCTTTGTACACTGGAGGGACAGTGCAAAGGATTGTTTCCAAGCTAAGTAGTGGTGCAGTTTGGAATATTGGACCCGGGGAATGCGGCAGCCGGCTGTGCACATGAACTAGTCATACCTTAGGCTTTTCCATCTGTTGCCATAGATTCACGTAGTCCAAGTGTTATAATAAAAATGCTCACATATGGAGTATTTGTGTGTCACAAGTTTAGAAGTAACCCTGTGAAGTAAATGAGTGCAATAGCCATTATTACTGTACCCACCTTTTTATAAATGAGGATAAGAATTTCAGAAGCTGTGTTTGACCAGAGTCTTTGAAAAATAACCGAGGAGTCAAACTGGAGCTGAGATCTTTTTACTTTAAATCTGGATTTCTTTTGCAGTACAGTTCTACTAAATAATTTCCTTTAGACAGTTTCATTTTACTTGCTGATAACTCTGATGTTTATTTTTAGATTATACTTGGTATAATATGTGATAATGTCCAAATACTTGGAAAGTACAGAAAAACAAACAACTATTGTCTGTAACATTGAGAACTACATTTTAAAAAATGACTTTCTAGCTTTTATTTTTTATGTGCTATGCAGTTTTATAACATAGTTATGTTCAAGATATCTTTTGTACATATTTTATTATTTCTACTTTGAGAGTATTTCTCATAGTATACTAAGTTCTTTGACAATATATTCCATTTTACTGTTGGACCATACTTTTAGACATTTATTTATCAGACACTTAGAATCCTTTCAGTTTTTCATCATAAACACTGAAAAACATTTTTGGATATAAATATTTGCACATATCCTACATTTCTAGTGTAACTTCATAAAAATCAACTTCCTAGATCAAAGGACGTAAGTATCCTTAAGGCTTTTTTGTTTTATAGTATAAAAAATATTTTCCAGGACTCTAGCACTTTGCATTCCTTTCAGCGCTCCCTATTATTTTTGTAAACATTGCTGTAATAAGGGAAAATTGGTATATTATTGCTTTATTTCCATTTCTGTGGTTACGGTGGTGGTTGAATTACCTCTCATATCTATTTGCCATCTACATTTAGCTTTTTGTCTGTTTATTTCCTTTGTCTGTCTTCCCCACTCCCCTGAGAAATTTATATTTGTGTCTTCTCTAGATTAAAATAGTAACCCATTGTTGGAGGAGGATAGTTTCCTGACCAAAATCACTGCCTTTCAAGAATTGAATGTAGATCCAAGCCTTTTATTTATTGCATCCTAGCAAGTTCAGCTTCAGACAAATTACTGAATTGCTGTCTGTTTCCTTTTCTTTTAAACAGAGAGTAAGACCTGCAGAATAAGATTATTGTGAACCTTAGTAAATTTATAGATGTACAAGCTGTTGAACAAAGTTCCAAATGTATAGAGTTTTATACTTATTGGAGTCAAATATAAATTGTTTTATTGTTTTTTTTCCTACAAGTTTTATGTAGCCAAAATATGGCTTTCTTGAAACTTATTTTTGTCTTTGAGTAGAAAGATCATTCTCCATACAATTAATTTTATATTCATAGATACTGTTTTTCAGATTCTGTAAGTTTTTGTATTTAAGTATTTAATACATATGGGTTTATTTTGGATTCCAGCACTGTTTAGGGAGTAGTCCCCCTCTTGATCACTGATAATGTTTCCTTTATTGTGCTAACTTCTTAAATACATTAACATTGTGAATGTCTTTGTTGTTTTACTGAGCTGTGTGTCAGCTGTATGTACAGTAGTACCCACTATTGTGTTGTGCCTCAGTCACAAATGCTACATCTAACAAAGCAGTTTCCTTTCCTTGATATTTTTCCTCCATATTTTCCTAACTATTCTCACCTGTGTATTGTCAGACAGATTAATAATAACTTTTATTTGATCCTCCTTTGCCTTCCACCGTTCCCTTGGGACTGTATTAAATATAGATGTGAATTTGGGAAATACTGGCATCTTTATAATATTCAGAAGCATCACAAAATGTCACTCCAGATATCCAAGTCAAGTATGTGTCTCAGGCAAATTGTATGGTGTTTTTCATCAGAGCCTATCTGTTTCATAATGAAGTTATTCCTGAATGTTGTGTTTATCACTGTAAATGAGACTTCCTTATTTTCTGAGGAGTATGTCTTGAGAGAAGTTCCTCATGGAAAGAATCTCATGCTCAGTTTAATTTAATTTGGGAAACAGGTCAGAGTGTCATTTCCCTTTGGAAGAGTCATGGTATTTAAGATCCCCAGAAGTTCTGTAATAGACCAACCTATTTAAGAGAACATTTGTTAGCATCACTTATCCTTGGAGCACATATTCATTTGTAATTTTCATACTGGAATTAAATGACAGTGTAGGTATTTTGGTTTTTTAATGCAGGGCTGCCGGTTAATGACATCTTAAAAATATTCCAATTTTATTTAAATAGTAGTAATTTAATTCAGAAATTCATAAGTGCATTTGAAAGCTCTATTGGCTTTTCTTTTTTGACCTCAGTACCCTCTAGGCTTTTAGTGCTGTGCTGCCCTGTTTAGCCTCCTCTGTCCTGTGCAGTGGGCCCCATGTACAGCAGCTATGTTAGTTTGCCAGCCAATAAAGGGAAGAGTGGCTTTGCCAGGGTTATTACTTTCTCCCAGCAGAAGGGTCTGGCCAGGGTTATTTACAGGCTTTGCTGCTTTTTTATTTATGTTGAGCGTTTGTGTGGTGGGTTGAGTAGCTGCAGAAGCTGAGAGGTTAAGAGAGCCAGCAGGGCTTGCAGGGCTGTGGATGGATCTGGGCTAGGTAGGGAAGGTGGAGGAATTAAAGCCGAGAAGAAGAAAAGAAGTACGGATTAAAATCTGAGTTAGCTCTAAAAGCTAGTATTTTATACTGAAAAGTAGCACGCATCAGCAAAAACTAATGTGCTGTTATTAGTACTAGCATAAACACAACTAGTCTCACCTATTTGTTATTGATATTATATGTGAGAGGTATTGATTTTGTGCCATTTAGTGCTACGTATTCTTACAGGCTTTCAAGTAGATTTTTCTTCCCATTCAAAGGCGATGTCTGATATCTTTTCCTTTCCAGTAGTTTTATCAGCCATCTATCTTGTATATTGATTAGCAGCTTCTAGGGAAAATATTACCTAACATTGCTAACAGGCATTTTTTTTATTCCTTTTCAAAATGACAGTATTTTGCTTTAAGCATAGTAGGAGATTTAAAACATTTTGTTTCTATCATGTTAAAGAAATGATTTTCTTTGTCTAGTTTAAGAATCAGTATCAGGAGTGGATGCTGACTTTACAAAAAAAAATCTTTTCAGTGCTACTCATGTGATGGATTTTCCTAATACTATATACTTCACTATATATCCAGCCCTATTTACTCTTAGTGGGTAATTTTTATGAAAGTCAATCTTCTATTAAGCATTTTACCACCTATGTTTTTAAGGGAGGTTAATTTATATGGTTGTGGTTGGAGGGGCAGTGTTATCTTTATGGACCTTTAATTTATTAATTATGCTGACTGGTTACAACTTGCCTGCCTGCCTACCTGCCTTCTTTTCCTTCTATCTCCCTAGTATACCCTGGAATGAGTTCTGTAGTATTGGAGTGAGCTATTTCTTCAAAGCTCTTTAAAAGGCATCTTCTCCAGTTTGGCTGTTTTTTGTGATGTGTTTTATTTATTTATTTATTTATTTATTTTTTCCAGTACCGGGAATCGAACTCACAACCTTGTGCTTGCCAGGCAGGTGCTGTGCCGCTGAGCTAAATCCCCAGCCCCTGATGTGTTTTATTTATGTGCTTATTTGGAATGGGTAACTCGGGAGTCATGATCTTCTGATTTTCTATTTTATGATTGATTTAATTTTGTATTTTCACTTTAAAAACCATTTCTATCTCATCGTTTTTGTTTTTAAAGAGAAGTAGAAAGAATAGATTAGGATTTGTGTATTTTTTGTATTTTATAGTTTTTGATTCATTACAAAATGCTTATCATTCAAAATATTATTAGTCTTTTTTTTTTTTTTATGAGACAGGGTCTCGCTATGCCTTAGCCTCCCGAGTGCTATATTAGTCTTGTGAAGTCAATAAATGTTTGTCTTTTTCTCAGCTGCATGTCAGAGAGCAAAGCATATGGAACAAGTGAATGTCGTGTGCTTCTTACAGAGATCTTCAAGCAGAATAAGCTGATTCAAGAAAAGAAAGACAATCTTTTAAAGTTGATTGCTGAAGTGAAAGGCAAAAAGCAGGAACTGGAAGTTCTAACTGCAAATATTCAGGATCTTAAAGAAGAATATTCTAAGAAGAAAGAAAGTAAGTTTCAGTGATATTAATAACACAATCTAAATTGCAAAGTATCGATAGATCACAATTATGTACATCCTTGTCTGCTGTCCTTCATTGCTAGACATGGATGAATGACATGCCTCAGGACATAGCCAGCGACTTATCTCTGCAACATGTCAGTACAGTTACCTAAGTGGGTTTGATTTTCTTTTGTTTTACTTTTTCTTTTAATTTCTGTTAAATCAGAGTAATAACAACATTGATATGAGGGGTTCTTTTTTACTCTTTTTATTTGTTATATAGATTAATGGATTCATTATGGCAGATTTGTAAACACATATAACATACTTTAAACATGTTCACACCCTGTATTAGTCCCTTTCCCTCCCCACCTAGATTCACACTGGGGGTGGCGGAGTTCAATGCACATATTTTGAGATATGAGGGGTTTAATTAAATGGTGGGAGACAGTGTCAGTAAATGAGTTTCACCTTGGTGTGATTTGTGCAACTATACACATTCCCTGCCAGGTAATATAAGCACTCATTATGCCGCAGTCTTGTTGCTCAAAAAAATTCATATTCAAATGAATGCTCCACTTACAAGGGAGCCTTGTGTACCCACAGACTATATAATCAATTCTTCAGATGTGTTGAAAATAACCAAGTTAGTTTCGGTTTTTTGTAGAGTTCTTATCCAAGATTCAGTTGTGAAGCTTTTGTCATCTACCAAGGATTACTTAGGGATTATTGTGCTAATGTAAAAAAATTCCAAACTAGCATGAAAAAAGGCTCTTTTCTCATGAGCAAGTAATTCCTAAAGGAGTGGAGTTGTTTTTCCATGAAGCAATCAGTGTATCTTTGGCTATCTAGAAAAATCAAAATAGGGTAAAATGAAGTCTGTTTCTATTCTAGCCACAGAAATCCCCGCCCTAATTATCTGCTTCTCAAGCAAGCTTTCCTTCCACCTTGAATGAACAGAAGACACTCTTGCTAACCAGGGGAGATAGAAACGTTAAATTTAAACACATTCATATGCCTGGCATCATTTTTATGGTTGTGTCGAAGTTTCTTAAAATCAATTCCATGAGCATTAATTGCGCTGTTTAAAATATTTGATATGGTGTGTTTGTGTTTTAATCATAGCTATCTCCACTGCTAGCAGAGCTAACGAAGAAAGGTTGAAAAGGCTGCAGAAGTCAGCAGACTTGTATAAAGATCGACTTGGACTAGAAATTAGAAAAATTTATGGTATGTGTATTAATATAATAAATATATATATGTAATGAGTGAATTTATAAAGATAAGAGATTAGAAAGCATGTCTTTTTTAAGCAGATGATTTTAAGAATATTTGAACTAGGGCTGGGAATATAGCTCAGTGGCACAAGCTCCTGCCTGGCAAGCGCAAGGTCCTGAATTCAATTCCCAGTACCAACAACAACAAAAAAGAGAAAATCAAGACTATTTGACCTAAAATGAACACATTATTAGCTTTTTAAAAAATAAGAAAACATCAGTTTATTACTGTAGCAGAACTATTGATCCTTTGATTATTCAATATTTTAATGAATATCTTGAGCATGATTGTCAACATGCAAATCATTTTCTTTTTTTTGTTCTTAGCATTTGTATCATTAGCATTTCTGCAGTGATAGCCTCAATAATGGTAATTTTTAAATCGTGGTATAATCATTCATTTGATTAATGTAATATAATAGTATTTTGTTGAATGTTTAACATATATTGCTTTTAACAACATTTGGATTCTTACAGTTTTTTAGTTTTAGAAATACTATACCAGACATCAACTTTCTATTCTAACCACACAAATCCCTGGTTTTTTAAAAAAAAAATTTCCATAGAATTCTCAGAGAGGAATTACTGCTTAAAACACACGAATATTTTTATGGGTGTTACTTGTATATGTGCCAGTTTATAGCAGTGTCTTGTTTCAGGGCACCCTTAGGCTTGGTGATTGAGTCCCCAGGAGGACTCAGCATATGTAGCATCCTCCTTTATCTATGGGGTGGATACGTTCCAAAACCCCCAGGAGATGCCTAAAAATGCAGATAGTACTGAATCCTAAACATACTCTTATACACACTACCTATGATAAACTTTTACCTTTTCTTTTAAGGGAGGGACTTTTTAGCTTCTCTCTGACATATTCAAATTACCAGCATCACTGCTTTTGCACTTTTAGGGTCATTCATTAAAATAAGGAATACCTGAATACAGACACGATCATAGCAGGACGGTCAGTCTGATAACACACAGCTATAAAGTGACCAACAGGTGGCTCATGTATAAAGAATGGATACTCTGGACAAAGGAGTGATCCACATCCTGGCAGACAGAGTGGAATGGCGTGAGAGTTCATCATGCTCCTCAGAACAGTGCATAATTTAAAATTTGTGAATCGTTTATTTCTGGAATTTCTGTTGAATAGTTTAGGCCCCAGCTGACTGTGGGTAACTGAAACCAGGGCTGAAAGAGGCCTACTATAATCACTCTCCTGGCTAAGAATTATTGCAGCAAAAGATGGCAAAACAGGAACAGCGGGAAAAGGCACACAGTACAAAGTCTAGTGGAAATTAGGCCCAAGCCTTTAAAAACCCAGGGGCATCACACAGGACACGCTTAACTTCCTTAAGCATCAAACGGTGACAGCCTGGGTGAGTGAAGCTCTGCCTGCTGGAAACTCACGGGAGACTTGATGCTGGAGGCTCGCGCCTGGTTTCCCTTGCACTCTACTCCACACTCTTACCCTTCGCTGACTTTGCTGCACCCTTTTGCAAGTCCTAGTCAGTCATCAAACCTAGGGTGATGTTGGGGACCCAAAACACACCAGCCACTAGCCAGTCTGCCAAGCAGGGCTTTCTGAAGTTCTAAGCATAACAGTCTCACGCCTGTATTGTTAAGTCTGTATGCCCACGCTTCTGGAATGTCCAAGAGAACCCATTTCCTTTTACTCTTGGCAGTGTGAAACCAAAACTCAAGGTGGAGCAATCTCTGAAATAAAAGAATATATTGAGCTGTTTGTTACAGATGCCACAGAAAGGAAAGACAGGTTCTGGGATAAGTTCCCACAGCCGGCAGCGGGGCAGGAGTAGGTGGCATTTGGAAAATGTTCACCAGGCCAGAGCTGAGAGCGTTTTGTTTAATAATGAAAATTTAGGAAAGAAGGCATAAGTTGCCTTGACCCTGTCCCCGCTGTAATTACGAGCGATGGGAGTGTGTAAGAGTGGGAGAGTCCGTGAGGACACTTAATAGCTGCTTCAGATCAGGGGGGTTGTAAGCAGGGTGTGGCGTCTGGGGAATGAGGACGGGAGGTGAGTTTGTAACACATTCTAGAATGTGAGGTGCTCCCTTGTTCTCGGCTCACAGCTTGTTAGCTAACTGATCTCACCCGTCTCCCCGTCACCTCCACCCCCCATCCTCCAACCCTTAAATTTAGAACTTCTCAGAATTTTTCTCTTATCACCAGAATTACAATTTTTAAAGTTTTTTTTTTCTTTTTTTGGCAGCTGATAGGGCACAAATAGAACTTTTATATTTAAAAAAACTTTTTTTTTGCTTATTAAGGAAAAGGTGACTTTTTTCTACTTGTTTACTAATTATATTCCTTTCTTTGCTATTTGAGTCCTTTACTTGTACATCTGCTAGTCTGGATGTTCTTCCTGTCGGGGTGAGTTACTGTTAAAAACATTAACTTTTTAATTAAATGGGAATATGAGAATTTTTAATGTATTCAATTCCAAGTAGATGTTCACTGTTATCCTGGGGTGTTTCTTGTTTCGTTTTGTTTTGTATTAAATAGCCAATTTTTTAAGACTTTAAAATTATTTTTAGACCGAAAGTAGAACCTTATCACAGCCATCAAAGTCAGGAAATAATGTTTTAGGAAAGTGTGATATTATGAAATAGCTCTTTGGTCTGCCTCCCAGTTTCCTGGCATAAGACTCCTAAAATCCTTGGAGTTGTAAAGTGACAAATGTCATTTTTATATGCTGATGAGCTGACTGATGGCTGACTGCCTCTAGCTTCCGGATGGGGCCTCGTGACATGGAAGACCTAGATGGGATTAAAGGGCTGGGACTTTCAGCTTTCCTTCCGCCCTCTGGGGAGAGGTCAGGGAGAGAGCCTCAGCTGGCTGATCACTAGTGGCCACTCACTTTATCAGTCATCCCCACACGAAGAAGCTTCTGTAAAAAGACTGCGTTCTGGGACTTTCCAGGGTAGTGTGTCTGGAGAGGCCCCGGAAGCGCTGTGCCCTTCTACCTTGACCTGTCCATCTCTTCATGTGTGTCCTGTGTAATGTCCTACTACGCTGGTGAATGTAAGTCAGGTGTTTCCCTGTGAGCGGCTCAAGCAACTTAACCAAACCCAGGGGGACATGGCGGCAACACGCTGTGTCCCAGTAGATAGGATCAGAACTCAGTTGAGTTAGAGGGCATCTCGCGGGTGTCCATTGCAGGACTTCTAAATGGCCACAGAAGTACTCTGTGTTGATTGTTGAGTGAGAGAAAGAAGAAAAGCGCTTTGGTGTTTCTGTCTTACCAAGTTAAACACTTCCTTTTTCCTAAGCATCTTATGTCTTATGAAACCTTTTTCCCTTGGCACGTGCAGGTCCCTCCCCCACTACTATTAACAATTCAAAAATGTGGTGCACTCACATAATTATTTCATTCCGAAGTTCAGTGTAAGACAAGTTTTTCCAAAGTTTCTTAGGATTTCCTTTCAAACTTGTAGTAATTTTTAATAAGATTTTCTTCTTTTGCGGCAGGGGTGGTGGTGGTAGAGAATGAACCTAGGGCCTTGCTCACCTATACCAAGCCAGCACTGTACCAGGGAGCTACATCTCCAGTCTTTCTTTAAAATTTTATTTTGAGACAGTCTCACACAGTTGCCCAGCCTGACCTCAAGTTTGTCCTTCCCCAGTCTCCCAAATAGTTTGAATTATGGGCATGTGCCACCATGCCTGGTGAGAGTTCTTTATTTTCTTATGCTATAGGAGAAACTAATATGCACAAGTTTATACTCTGTGGCAGCCGTCTTGAATTTCTGACAGGCATTTACTCCCCTGGGAACACTTGAAGGTCTCTTGGAAAATAGACTTTAAGTCTGGGTAACTAGACAAATGTCTGATTTGTTTGACTATTTTTTATGATGGTAAAACTTACACAACAAAAATTGCCATTTTTAAGTGTGCAATTTGGGACACTGATTACATTTACAATGTTTTGCAACCGTTTCCCAAATTTTTACCACCCAAGAAAAAATTGTTTGCCATTTCCCCCAACTCCTAGTAACCTCTCATTTACGATTTGTTGCTGTGGTGTACCTATTCTAGTTGTTTGAGATCAGTGAAATCATACTTGTCCTTTCGTGTCTGGCATATTTCACTTAGCACTCTTTTTCAAGGTTTACTGCATGTTGTATGTGCGAGAGCATCACTCCTTCGAGCAGGGCAGTGACCCTGTCTGTACCACATTCGGTCAGTTCAGCCATTGGAGGGTGCTGGGTTGTTGCACTTGGCTACTGTGAAAAATGCTGCTATGGAAAGTGGCAGACAGTTAACTTTTTATTGCTCAATTGTAGGAGTTTTGAAAAGTAGATTGTGTGTATGGAAGCCTTACTGGATATATGGTTTACAAATATTTTCCTTATGAATTGTCTTTTCATTCTCTTGATAATATCCTGTTTTTTTTGTACTGGGAATTGAACTCAGGACCTTGCGCTTGCCAGGCAGGTGCTGTGCCATTGAGCCATCTTCCCGGCCCTTGATAGTGTCTTTTGAAAGACAGTAACTGTTAATTTCAATGCTGTCCAATTAAAATTTTCTTTTGTTGCCTGTGTGTTTGGTGTCAATATATAACACGTCTTAAAACTAACTTGTATCACCTGTGTTTGAATATGTTGATTGAGTGGATATACATACTTAGCACTGCAAGTATTGGTCAAAGATAAGGGGTAAGAAAACACCTCCATTTGAAAGCTTTGACACAAAATATTCTCGTACTAAGTAGCTTAATCTCTTTTCAGGGGATAAGTTGCAGTTTATATTCACTAATATTGACTCGAAGCATCCTGAAAACCCATTTATGTTTTCCTTGCATCTAAATGAAGCAGGGGACTATGAAGGTACGTACTCCTATTTCTTAACTTGTGTTTAAAGTTGGCATCTCCAAGGGTTCTTTGAATCAGAATATGAAGGAAATAGTCCCACAAGCTTCCTTTTCCGGTCTTGCCTCTTGAGTTATGGTCTTCTGAAGGATATTAGAGAACTTAAAATAAAACTGAAGCTATCAAACATACGCAAACCTGATGTGAATATTATCATTTTCCAAGTAGGTGACTTTAAAATCAAGTGTAAAATAATTAGAATGTGGTCCTTTATCTTCCAATAAACAAGCTGATACATTGTATCAACATGGGGTCTAGTTTGGCTAAGTGACTCAGCAGGAAGCCAGGGTGCTTACTTTGTATACATCCTGAGCCTGTGCAAGAGGAGGGCATGGAGATTATGTGAGAGCTACACACCCCTTAGGTGG